ATTATGTGGCATGAAGTTATAAACTCTGCCGTGATGCAACTGCTGTGGAGGTTGTCCCGGAGGAAATGGTGGTGCTGGAAGTGCCGGAAAATTCTGAACTTGCCCACGTGGTATTGGTGGGGCCGGTAGAGGTAACGGCTGATTAGGTCTCGACTGCCCATACTGTCCCTGCTTAGCTTTGGGACACATCTTGGCCGGATGCCCAATTTCTCTACAGTGATAACAACGTCCCGTAAAAGGACCTGCCTGCCTCCTCTGTTGACTTCCCGACCACTGTTCCTGTCCGGTCTGAGGTATCCCACCTTGTCTACCCTGATTAGGGACTCCATCCCTCTGCACATCTGGGTTTCCTTTGTTTTTCTTCCAAGGTTAATGTCCTTGAAATCTGCCCCGATCATTGGACTTGGTACCACTGCTGCTTCCTTTCTCCACTGTCTGGTAGTCTCGGTTAGCCCGCTTATCTCCCTTGGACTTCCGGTAATCACTTCTCATCTGGCAGTGCTGTAAGGCGGCATTAACCACCTGGATATAAGTAGTATATGCAGGACTACCTATGATCACCACTTTAATCGGCCATATCAACCCTTTCACAAAGCGGTCTCTCTTCTTTTCTTCCGTATTGACCTCCTCTGGTGCAAATAATGACAAATTAATGAACTTCTGTTCATACTCAGCCACAGTCATATCCTCCTGTTGCAGATCCAGAAATTCAGTCTTCATCGCTGATCTTACTGACATAGGAAAATACTTGTCGTCAAAGCGAGTCTGAAATTCAGCATAAGTCAATCTGGTCCTTTCTTCGACAGTAGTAATAGACTCCCACCACTGCAATGCATTGCCTATCAGCATAAACGTAGCTAGCATCTATTTCTGCACTTCGGTACAGATTACCATCCGAAGATGACGCTCGCTCTCCTGTTTCCACTGATATGCTAACAAGACATCTGTGGACCCCGCAAATGTCGGTGGATTCCCTCTGATAAACGAGTGACGAGTTTTGTCCCATGACATTGGCTATGCCACTGGTTCAGGAACAGGTACTAACGGAGGAGGTTGCTGGTTTCGTAGAGCAGATGCTACTCCTGCTGCTACAGCTCGTGCAATAATATCAGCAACTTGAGGGGAAAATTCCTGATTCTCATTTTGAGTTGTGGAAATACTGCGATGACGGTTCGCATTCCTTGTCCCACGCCGAGACATCCTTCTTTTGAATTCAAAAAATCTAACGTCAGTACATTATAATGGACCGACTAAAAGAATACAAAGAACCCTAATACCTAGGCTCTAATTATCAGAATACACAACGCGGAAGTATAGTAATCACAGATCCCTAAGACACTCGAACCTGGAATGCTCTGATACCAACTGTGACACCCCCACATTTTCCACACATAAGTTGATCAGGCTTATACACGAAAAACGAGGGATATCAAAAACAATTGGCAATATATAAGCATGGAATACAAAATGATGATAATAAAAGAATTTAGACAGGAAAGGAACACTAAATAATACAACATCCATCCATCCTTTATTTAATACAGTACTCTATTACAACTTGGAAATCCTATGTCAAGGATCCCTAAATATAACCCTGAGAGTTCAACGTCAAAAGTAAATAAAAACTGAAACTGAAGTAATACGTAAAACTTCTACCCTGAACTGGATCGTAAGAGTAGATGAGTTCGGATGGTGGTCCCACACTGCTAACCTCAACCTTGGAACGGGTACTGACCGTATCCTGAAATAACAACAATGGTGGGTCAACCCCACGAGCAAGTCCTCTCTACTATGACCCAAATCAGAGAATCAAATAAATTAATCATTATGAATCGGATGAGTACTATATCTATATACATCCTAAGGGAACTATCCAATGTATAACATAACCTCAACCAGAATAGACGGTGATCACTTAGACTCACACTAGGTGGTTAAGTGTCGCCTTTCCTTACCCGGGAAATCAGCTATTATACATGGTGCACGATACTGACAACACAGACTATAACGAACTACACAGTGATAACACCTCTCAAAGTACTGATGAATATACTGAGCATATAAATTAGGCAACACATGCCAATAATATTACTAAACATACTGAGCATGTCAATTAGGCAACACATGCCAATAATATTGAACCACATACCCCGACAGCCACACATCTGTCTATAGCAACGAATGCATAAGGTATAAATGAGTCTAAACTTATTAGCCAGCTCACGTGGTTCTATATGGCAACACATCCATATAATATAAATGCGACATAATTTAAACAGTCCATTTATTCTCTGAAATGCACACAGCATAATAATCATGGTTGATATATGATTAACAGTATAAATATCCCATAATATCTAATGGATAACTTATATGACGATAACTGTGACATTATTAACAGTACTAATGAATACCATTTAATAATATAATAACACCACCTATAGTAATGTTGTTCAAATGAATCACATTCATATCCGTACGGTAAACGGGCCAATTAAGGTTTAGAAATATTAATCGGCCATAATAATACTTAACGGGTATTAAAATAATAATTTCGTGGCCCGTTAAACCCGTAAATACCAACGCAGTACCTAAAAATCCAAGTTTAAGGTTCTGGAATTTACAAAACAGGCCTTAGGGGTATTTTGGTAATTTCCAGCAGCTGTAGAGACCCCACACGCGCCCTCACGCGCCTCCCAGAGCCTCCCCACGCGTAGCCCAACCTTCCCCACTCTCCCACGCGCCTCCACGCGCGTCTGACATCAGCCACGCGCGCGCACGCGCTCCCACGCGCGTCTGGAGAGTTCCACGCGCTCGTTGATGGCTTCCTGCTGACGTGGCATCCTCCGGGTGGTTGGCTGCATCACCTTTCCTACATGCGCGCCACACCGGATCAATCCACCTATGCTCCTTTCATCCTACGGCTGATGATTAGCACGCACCATCATATGGTGTCCCGCGCTACACCGAATCCATCTTTTAATCAATTTCCCATCAACCGGTCATGGATCCATGCGCACACAGGGTACCTTGTGCCGCAACACACCGAATTGCTCCGGTCTTCTTCCCTGCTGCCGGCGACCGGAAATCTCGCCGGAACCTCGCCGGAAAATGCATAAAATTACCGGAAAATTCTAGAAAATTCTAGAAAAATCCCTGAAGCCTTAAATAATTATTTTTTTTAGCTAGATTTAATTGTATAGGATAATAATTAAATATCTATCATCCTAAATAATTAAAATTTTATTAATTAAATAAACTAAAAATAATAATTTATTAACTCCTAACATGCTCTCAAGGCTCCATAATAATTTAAATAATTTAAACAATTAATTTATGGATTCAAAGGGGAAAAATAGATAAGAACTTGCCTTTTTGGATTTAAAATAAATCCGCCGGTTGCGCGTAGTCGGGTAAATTTCTCCTACCCGGTCCAAGCTCCTTTCTTTCTCTCTCACCTTTCCACACTTTTACAATGGCTCACTAAAAGCTATAATTTTTTTTTTCTAACTCCCTTCCATTCCTTCTAAGGTAGGCTAACTAATTTATATACAATTTATATAATATAAATATTACAAATATCTAATTTTTACATTTACTAACCACTTTCCCAACCATATGGCTTCAAGTCTACCCATACACATTAATGAAATCCTATCCTAATCTCTAATTTCATCATGACATTGTGATTTAATACTATTATTATTATTATAACTATTATTATTATTATTACTAATATTATTATTAATAAAATTTTATAATTATTATTATTATATTATTATTATTATTACATAAGAATACATTATATCATCATAATACTTTATAACACAAATATAATACTTTAATTAACTAATAATGATTAATATAAACATAACCAACAAATAAAATTATTAATAATAATACATGCACAATTAAATGAATAAATTTACTATTTTAACATACACAATTAATTTACATGCACCATTAAATGAACTTAATATAATAATGTAGCATGCACAATAATAAGTAAAGAAATCCTCACATAAATGAATTTAAATAAACTAAACTCTTTAATAAAATACGGGGTATTACAACGGTCTAGAGACAGAAAGAGGATATGAGGTAGAGAGAGAGGGAATATGGGGATATAGATAGAACAAACACAATTGAATTGAGTTGTGATGTGAATGAGAAGTGTTGTCCAATCCTAGTGTCTCTCCTCTTCTCTATGTAGCCGCTCATAAAGCTCTTTCTACAGTGGAAACATGAAACGAAGTGAGGAACTGAGTAGGTGTTGTTTTTGGTGTTGGGAAGAAAAGTGCACAAAAGAGGAAATTATGGAGAAGGTACTAAACTAAGCACACAGTCACACACACAATCGTATATACCCTTTTTATATTTAATATATATATATGTACCTCAGGATTAATCTTAGTTAATACATAACTTTCTGTTGGCTCCATGATTTTAGTATTTTACAGAATATATATATATATATACACACACACACACACACACACAAACAGTAGGTTCTAGCTTCAAATTAAGAAGTATATATGTGTAGTGAATTTAATTAATTTGTTGCAGGATAAGCAGGCCTAAGGCTTAATACACCTGATCTGCTTTCTTATCCGTATTTGTAATCCTGCCAACTAGTTATATGAATTATATGAATGCAAAACTTTTGATTGGTTAAATAACTTGAATTATATGAATATTGAAATAGATGTCATCAGCTGGAAGTTCTGGTAAAACTACAAGAAAAAATGCTCTGGGACAAAGATTAGATCCGGGATGGGAACATGGGGTTGAGGATGGGACTTCAAAAAAAGTGAAGTGTCGGTATTGCAACACTTCCCATTCTGGGGGTATTTATCGGCATAAACATCACTTGGCTGGCACTCATTTAAATGTTGAGCCGTGTCCACAAGTGCCCGAAGAAGTGAGAACACAATTTCAAAAAATTCTTCAAGCTCATTCAGAGGAAAGTCAAAAGAAGAAAAAACAAAACTTATATGATGTTGATATCGATGATGATGATAGTGAATGTATAGCCTTAGAACAATCAAAGAAGAGGAAGCAAGGTGGTGCAATGGATGGATTTGTAACAAAGAATTCGCCACGGCAAACAACATTGAATGAGAAATTTAAAAAGGAAGAGAGAGATGCAGTATGTCAAATCATAGCCCGATTTTTTTATACCAGTGCTATACCATTCAATTGTGTGAACAATCCCATATTTCCTCTTATGATTAAAAGGATTGGAGAGTATGGGAGGGGGCTCAATCCTCCTTCTTATCATGAAATTAGAGAGACATTCTTGAAGAAGGAAGTGAGTGAAGCATTGAATATACTCGAGAATTTTAGAGGAGAATGGGTGAAGACTGGATGTACTATTATGTCAGATGGGTGGTCTGACAGGATGAGACGTTCAATATGTAATTTTCTTGTCAATAGCCCATCGGGAACTATCTTTTTGTCATCCCGAGATACTTCTGATATTTCAAAAACTGGCCAAATGGTTTTTGAAATGTTAGATGAGATTGTGGAAAAAGTTGGAGAAGAAAATGTTGTACAAGTTGTGACTGATAATGCTTCTAACTACAAATTGGCTAGAGAGATGTTGATGGAAAAGAGGAAAAAATTATTTTGGACACCTTGTGCCGCTCATTGCATTGATTTGATGTTGGAGGATTTTGAGAAAAAAATTGAGATGCATAGTGGGACAATTGAAGATGGAAGGATGATTGTTTCATACATTTATTCAAGGTGTATGCTTAACCATTGGATGAAGGAATTCACAAATGGCAAGGAGCTTATTAGACCTGCAGTGACGCGATTTGCCACTTCTTACTTAACTTTGCAGCGTCTTAATGAACTAAAAGGAGAATTGATGAATCTTTTTACATCCTCTAAGTGGAAGTCTAGTAAGTTTGCAAGGACACGTAAAGGGAAAAAAGTTGAAGGCGTGGCTTTAGACAATCGTAACTTTTGGACAAATGTTGCCAATTGTCTAAGAGCTGCAATACCTCTTGTTAAAGTACTCCGATTGGTGGATTCTGATGAGAGACCGGCTATGGGATTCATTTATGGAGCAATGGATCGTGCCAAGGAGGAAATTAAGAAAAACTTCAATGGCATCAAAAAGTGGTAAAGTTTTAATTTATTTAAAAACTAAAAGAGTAATAGAGTTTTTTATTGTTTAGAATATAGTATTGTTTGTAAATAGTTAAACTGAAAATTATTAGACTTACATTAAATTAACGATTTTGTAGGTATAAACCTATTTGTACGATCATTGATGCAAGATGGGCATCTCAACTTCATCAACCCTTGCATGGGGCCGCATATTTTCTGAATCCCCAATTCCAATATAGTCCAAGTTTCCATTTAGATGCAGATGTGAAAATAGGAGTTTATAAATGTCTCCAAAGAATGGTTCCTGATTCTAATGAGAGAGTAAAAATTGATTGCCAAATGGACACATTCAAAGCTGCAAGAGGGCTCTTTGGCCTAGATAATGCAATATTGACAAGGAACAAGAAGTCTCCAGGTTAGAAAATGCAATATTGATATTTGATAATTTATTATATTTCGTAATTCAAATGTCAATTGAAAATTGAATAGTTTTAACATTAATGTTATAATTTTTTTAATATAATAGCTGAATGGTGGGATTCATATGGTGATGAGTGCCCCGAGTTGAAGCGGTTTGCAATTAGAATATTGAGTTTAACATGTAGCTCTTCGGGATGTGAAAGGAATTGGAGTGCCTTTGAGATGGTAAATTACTGAATAATGCATAGTTCTAAAATTTTAATAATGTTGTTGTTTAATTTTAAGTTTTAACCTCATTGGTAATATATTTAGGTGCATTCAAAAAGGAGAAACCGGTTGCAACAAAAGAAAATGAATGATTTAGTATTTGTTATGTATAACATAAAATTGAAGGAGAGGAACTTGAAAAGACAAGCTGTCATAGAACCAATTATTTTTGAAGATGTCTCTTCCGATGATGAATGGATTACCGAAAAAGAAGATCCGGTTCTTCCAACAAAAACTAAATGGTTGAGGGTTCTTGATGACAAAGTTCAAGAAGATGATTCCGATGAAGAAGATGAAGTAGAAAGGATGACTAGGACATGTAAGAACTTAAATTTTAAACTTTTATTATAATATTGTATAAATTATTACATTATATTAATTTTTGTTCTTTCTTTATGCTTTGTAGTTGAGGAAATTTATGCAATTGATGATAATGAAGATTTGCAGCCATTAAATCCTATTGATGAAGCTAATGAGGAAGATGGTGCAGGGTTCAATGATGACTTTATGGATATGTAATTTTAGTTTCTAACTTTGGAGAGGGATGAGTTAGGATTTGAGATTTATGGACTATTTTATTTTGTGTTACATCCTCTTTTATTTATATTCAAACTTTGGAATATTTTCTTTTACTTTTATTTATATTCGGACTTTAGAATATTGTTAGGATTTGAGATTTGAAGTCATGGATATGTAATATGGTATGTTTTGGCCTTATTTTGGTTATATTTTACATATCTTATTGTTTAGGAAGTTAGTTTCAATTATTTTTTCACAATTTGGTAGAATCTTACTATTCACGATCCGATTCTACGATTCTGATTCTACGGAGCACAAAACGATTCTACATAGAATCCCGATTTTAACAACCTTGATCTAATCGCCCAGCCTTGGCGGACTCAGAAACAGAAAGCTTTACAGTGAAGTCCTGCTCATTAATAACGAAATATTTTATGAGAGTTTTACTTTTTATAAGCATTGAAAAACAACAATTGAACCTGTTTCACGTTCAGAATCAAACAAGATATTAGAGGATTTGAATTCTTTGTATATCACTTTTTCTTCTAGACCGTGAAGATATGCGAGTCCCTTCGCAGCGCCAAGAGTAACCTTTATACGGAGGTTCCAAGAAAGCAGTTCAACATAAGGCGGCCCTGTTAATTCCAACAACACATACTAGGGTCTGTTAATCATATATATAAGGAGAATTGGATGCTGTAAATAACATCCCACAACCTAGAGAAATTAGTGAAATGGTTGAAGAGCTAATGACGTCAAGAACTTACTCCTAAATAGATGATATTCCAAGCTACCCTGCGGCATGAACTCATGAACCAGAAAACGACCCTCCTCTAAACAGTACCTGACCAATTTCACGAGATTAGGATGATGCAGCTGCCCCAAATAATTAATTTCTGCCTATGGTTGAAGAGGAGTAACAAATTAATAACTAGAAGTACGTGGTCAAATTCCAACACAGGAGCCAAAAATGTTTGAAAAATTCTAGTATTGTTTTATTGATATGGTACACAAGGATCATCAAAACTTGAAATGGTAGACGAGGCAACCAAAAATTCATTTTTGGTTATTACAAAATTCTAGCAATGCCTTACATTGTACGCTACTAAAGTAAGATATACTAATTCAAAGATTCTGGTCATATATAGATAAACTAATAAAGCCAAAGATTATACTTACCAACCATTCCGGGTGGCTCGAAAAATCTAGTATTTCCACAGCTATAACCATGCTAGTCCCCGGTTTGGCAGCGGTAAATGTATTCTCATCAATCCAGCCCTTAAAGATGTCACCAAATAAACTTTTTGGACGGAAGGACATGGTGGATCTTTGGAGTTGACTAAAGGAAAACCTCATCAAATTAGGCGTCTCTAAAATCTCACCTTCGGTCAGAGGAGTAAGTTGCACCAAGGTTGAATTCAACCCTGCACATGAATATTAATTCCAAAAGACATCCATTAATTCAAAAGACAATGCCAGACAGAAAATGGAACTTCTCAACAAACTAACTCAGTCACTTCTAGATATATAACCATATTTCAATTTTAATGGGACAAGCCATATTGAATTAAATTGAATTGATTGCTCTGTGCTCATAGACCGCATTTGTACATTGTTGAAGATGGATTCTGCGCAACCCGGATCTGATCTGACTTTCTGAATAAAGAGAAGAAAAAGTGATCCTACAAACACCGATGTGTTACCGGTGGAGTAGGCTCCGACGAACAAGTCAGTGTGAATGATAATCTCTCTGGAGAAATCGAGATATTGAGTTAGGGTTTTTTGCCTACCTCCAAACGTCGATTAGCCCTCCCTATTTATAGAACTTGGGTCAGGATGTTACGTAGCGTCCACGTCGTCCTTAATCCTTATCATAATATGTTGGCCTAATCCTTATCGTATTCTGCAATTCTTATCGTAATCTGTAACCCTTATCTTAGTCGTAGTCCTTATCTTAGTCTGTAGAGCCTATCTCAATCTTATGAAATAACGCGTTACTTTAACGATCTTCCCCTATCCACGGGTAATTAAATTATAATCATCAGTTGCCCCTCGTTTCGGAGGATTGCTTGTCAAACCACCGGAACGTTAATTCCCAAATATGACATAATAACAAATAGCTGGAATTGTAGAACCGTTCACCCTGTATTTTTACAATAAGTTGGTTTGATTATGAAATAGTAGAGCCTTATCCATTAACTTGACTTAGATTGCCACTTCGCGGATATAGTCGGGGGTCAAGCTGCCCGGTTAGCTTGCGGGGGTCTAGGGGGTAGCGCCCCCAGGAAAATTTTTTTGTTTTCCTATTTTTTTTTTGTAGGACCGTAGTTGCCTTTGAAATATTTGTCGTAGTGCCTCATTAGCAGGACCGTAGTGCCATATTGACAGTTTGTATATATGGCAGGCTGCCATGCTGGCAGCCTCCCTTTTGGCACATAGGTAACTCATGTAGGGCTGCCAGTGTGGTTGTCCTATTCGAACTCCGAATCCTATTCTACCTTGTAAAAGTAAAATAGCCCGCAAAATAGCCCGTTGAGAGCTGCTTGTCCCTCACGAAACAGATTTCTACTAGAATTCCACCAGAAATACTTTCCTTATCTGTTTACGTTCTTCTACTATAAACTGAGATGGTTCGAGTAAAATTCATTCAAATTACTTCCATCATCCAGAAAGCCAGGTAGTGCCAGTCGTAGTGATGTGGTAAGTTCCATGCCCTCGTTTTCTTCCTGCTTCTATTTAATTCGTTGTTGCTTTTTCCTCCAACTCAGTATACCAAGACCAAAGTTAGAAAACTTTATAGGTCACTGTGAAGTTAGGCTCTTGCATACAGTAGCGTGTGTTACTGCCAGCATATTTTACCCAGAATCTAACACTATGTCAGACGAGGAACACCGCCAGTCTGATTCGGCTCCGTCAGAGACACATCTGGTACAGGATATAGCAGGCTCCCTTACCTCGCAGGATCTGGATCGGATCAGGCAAACTTATTCAATTCCAGACAGTGTTACTCTCAGACTTCCTTCACTTGATGATAGAGCATCCTCCTTTTACCCAACTGAGATTTGTTTCTATGAGTCTGCTTTCATTGGCGGATTGCGTTTTCCAATCCATCTTTTTATTAGGGAACTGTTGCGTCACCTTAATCTTGCTCCTACTCAACTCTCCCCGAATGCTTGGAAAACAATAATGGGTTGTTTAGTTCTGTGGCGAGCTTGTTGTAATACCTCGCTCACTATCCAAGAGTTTCTTCATTGCTACATTCCCAAAAGGGGTGACTGGCTGTACTTCTCCCCACGGGACATAATTCTTATCTCTGGAATTCCCCTTAAGCACAAACCATGGAAAAGCAGTTTCTTTTTCGTTTCTGGTGATGGCTGGGAGTTCTTTCCTGAAGAAAGTGCTTTCCTACGAATAGGGACTTCCATTCCTCGTGCGTGGTGTAATCAGAATTCCACCGGTGAGTTGTCCATAATGATACCCTCTTATGTTTTAAAACTCAAAGTAAATTTTGTTTGAGTTATTAACAGAATTGTTGTTCTTTCAGGCGTTAAAGAGATTGCCGTTTCATCTGATGATCTCCAGCAAATAAAGGAAGCCTTTAACTACCCAGTGAGGGACTGGTCTTCACTCGTGACACCTCAGACTTTGTTTACCCATGGGATTGGTCCTCAGCCAGTTGGCAAGTCCTCTGTAACTATATCCCGAAAACTTAATAAGAGGCTTCTAGCTCAGTTCAAAGAAGGCTCAAGTGACTTCCCACCTACTTTCCCTGCCAAGAGGAAAAAAAAGAAGCCTACTATTACAGCACAAAGGGTCTTACCTGTTTCAGTTGTTTCTCCACACGAATCCGACTCGTAATTCCCTCATCAGCTTGTGGATGGGACTATGCCATTCCTTACTGAAGCAGCGGTACTCCCCTCAGATCCCTATTCTTCAGCAGCATCTGTTCTAGGCAATGCTCAACTTGCTTTTAAGAAGATAAGCGAGTCTTTGTCGAAGGAGGATATGATGTGTCTGAATTCACGCCCTCCAACTGAGATTGTAGACCGACTCATGCATGATCTCGCACGGGTTAACTCTCGCACCATCCTCTGTTTTTATTTAGCTTTTCTTTTCCTCTTCATTGTAACTTTTTATTCCCACGTGCGTACAGGTGAATACACACGCGTATTACTTGTCGTGTCTAGCTGTAAAAGGAGGAGAGCGTTACACCAATATGTTGGCTTCTACTCGCTCCCAACACCAAGCCGATTTACAAGTGGAACGTGATAAACATGAGGTCGCTCTACAAACAATGCGTGCTGAGTAGAAACAGAACGAGCTTGTCATGCATCTTATGTGCAAAAACTCAACAAGGAGATGTCCCAGAAACTAATGGTGGAAAGAGCCAATGCAGTGGGTGAGTTTAAAGCCTCACCCACCTTCAAGGAGATTATGTCGAAGGCTTACTTTGACGGCTTAGAAGATTTTCGGAATCGTGCTGCTTTTGAATTTGTAGACCAAGACTTCTCTGTCATTCAACTAGATGAAGCGAGTGATTCCGAATAGGATAGATGTGTAGCCATTTATTTATTTGCTCCCATGTTTCTCTTTGTGCTTGAAACTTTTCTTTCTTTACAATCAGTTTCCATTTATATTTGTAAGGTTGATAAGTAGGAAGGACAGTTATGTTTTGCCATTGCGACTGCCGCATTATGTTATTTTATTGACATCTTTGGTCGGCTCATCCCTTTGATAAGGAAAGTAGATTAAGACGAGTTTTACTCAGCTCGTCTATGTAATAAGGTAAGTAGATGTATACGAGCTTCACTCAGCTCCCCCTTTAACAAGGGAAATAGATTACTATGAGCTTCACTCAGCTCACCCTTTAACAAGGGAAGTAGATTGCTATGAGCTTCACCCAGCTCACCCTTTAACAAGGGAAGTAGATTATTATGAGCTTCACCCAGCTCACCCATTTAACATGAATATCTTAACATATCAAAATGATAATGAATTATTTGAAACAACTGATCCAAGTAGGAAATACTTTATTAAAGCCAAAGTTGATAACAAGGATATTGAAGACATTCATTCGTAGAGAATGAAGTAATTATTGCAACTAGAAGTATTAGCAAAAATAAATAATAAATTGAGACTAAACTGAAATTGTTTACTGATAATATTTCTTTAGATGCTCAACATTCCATGGGTGAGGCAATGGCTTTCCCTTTAAGTCCTCCAACCAATATGTTCCTGGTCGCTGACATCGCGTAACTTTGTAAGGCCCTTTCCATTTGGGACCTAGTTTCTCTATGGTTGAATCCTTAGTTGCCTGAGTAACTTTGCGGAGTACTAAATCTCCTACTGAGAACCTTCTAGGCTTGAACCGAGCATTGTAATACTTGGAAACCTTCTGTTGATAGGTAGCCATCCTAATCTGGGCTAGGTATCTCCTTTCTCCGATTAGGTCCAAGCTTACTTCCAACTCCCTTTCGTTCTGCTTTGGCTCGTAGTGCTCCGTCCTAAAGCTTGTTAGGCCAATCTCTACAGGTACTACTGCCTCACTTCCAAATGCTAAAAGAAAAGGGGTTTCCCCTGTGGGAGTCCTTGCAGTAGTACGGTAAGTGATGAGCACTGAAAAGTGCGCATTTAAACCCGTTAAGCTTAAACATTCTAGTACCTTTATCTATCTTACTTTGCCGTTTTAGACTTATTACGTGTTATTTATATTTTCAGGCACTAATCCCAAAATTTAGCTAACTCAGCCAAATAAGAGCTTAATTGAAGCAATCCTGAGATAAACCAAAGGAGGGAGCAAAGTGGAGAAAGAAAGGAGCAAAAAGGAATCAAGTTTTGCAGCTGAAAAGTTCGATCGATCCAACTTAGAGTTCGATCGATCGAACATCTATGATCGATCACAGTACTTCTCGATAGATCCAACCTTGGCCTTTGCTGAAATTCCAAGTTCGATCGATCGAACACCACCTTCGATCGATCGAACCCTATTTTGTCCTATTCAAATGATTGATCTTATCCACAGCTGTACGCCTACCAACCACTTTTGTCTTTTTCCTCATAAATATCTTGAAAATATCCCAGCCTCGTCATTATCCGAAGGAGTCAGACCACTTCGATCGATCTAAGATGCAGTTCGATCGATCGAACCCATTTTCGATCGATCCAAGTTAAGGTTCGATCGATCGAACTTCCTCCAGCGAGAAAAAGTTAAAATCCAGCTCATTTATTCCGTCCTTCATCCAATCATTGGAGAATATGCCTTGCACGACCACAGCTCATCATGAGGTGTATTTGACCTACCTATATAAGGAATATGATACACTTTTTGAGTGAGTCTCTTGTCACACATTGAAAATCATCTTGGAGGCTATTCTTGGAGAGGAAGCTAGAGCAACCATTGGAGGAGATCTTCACCAACAAGGAGCAGCTATGGAGTTAGCCCTTGAGGGTTGGATCATCACTACCATGAGTGGCTAGACATCCTCTTGGGGCTAGAGTTAGCCCCAAGCATGCTTTCTATACTCTAATCTTGTGTATTATTGAGGGATTAGTGTTGTATGATATATCTTGATATTCATGTATACATAAATCTTGATTATTTCATGGTTTATATGGTTTAATGCTTCCAATTGACTATTCTATTCTATCCATATGTCTATGTATGCTAGAGTAGGATATTCATGTGCTTATCCCTAGATTTAGTGTTTTTGATGCATGTCTATGTGTATTGATGCTATAGATCTAGAGATTATCAAGATGATATGCTTAATGAATGCTATTTTGGTTCATTTGATGGTTTATGCCTACTCTTGATGGTTTGTGCCTCTCCCCTAGTCTAGATAGCTTTATTTTCATGCTAGTAGTGTAGATTTAGTGTAGTGGTAGTGTAATGTTAGATGGGAGGACAATCTACTCTTGATGTTTGATGTTCCATGCTTGTGAGTCCAAATGGCATATTCCTTTAATATTGTGTTGTATGTGGATTGTGAGCTTAATGAAGGATTAATGACTTGTTTTGATCTATTGTGCTATCCCCATGTTATCTAGACAATATATGCTCTATTATTTAGATATATTGTGCTCTTCACATTATGTTTAGACAATACTTGCTTGATTTGTCATCCTTGCCAATTGAATCAACCTAATGCACACATACCCTTATCATATTGCAACACATCCATTACCCTCAATTGATCACTTGTTAGTAGTATAGAAAAGTATTGCTTGGTGGTGATCTCTACACCCCAAGACCTCTCTCTCTCTCTTGTTTACTTTATATTATTTTATTTACTTGAATTCAATTTAGCTTAATCAACCAACCAATCAATTGTGTGATCACTCGACCTACTAACCCTAATTATCATTGTTTCACAATTCGATACACCATCAAATCCCTTGGGACGATCCCTACTCACCCTATTTATATTTTATATAGAGAAATGTAGTAGTGGCTTTCTATAAATGTAAAACTTAGCCACCTCCTAAATTCACAACTCTTCAAGCTTGACTTAGTATCGCAACCCTTGTAAAGGCTATCGGTCAGTTTTTGGCGCCGTTGCCGGGGATTAACGGTTTTGTTGGAATTAATCTAGACAATAGTGTTCATTAGATTGCTTCTATTTTTATTTTATTTTCCATTGTATATTCTTTTCTCTTGATTCTCATTATTATTTGTTCAATTAGGTACTTGACTACAAGGAAGGCGAACTTT